CCTTAATATCTAGGAAAATCGGATATGAATGATACCGTGCCTAATGAAGATGCGCTTTTCGTAACACTAAGTTCCAATGAACCTCATGCTATCACTTGAAAGATTAGTAATGAACACATTACATGCACTGTTTTAAAACTTGCAGTTTAAAGTCATCACCAATAATGCTGGCTTTTCAAATATACCTCAAATATTTTAACTAAAAGTAATGTATAACATGAAGATAGGGCTTTTCAGACAGTTAATTGTTTCTTCAAAACACATGAATTAAGTTACATAATTGTTTGGGAGGATGGGGGTTGGAAAGCCTATGCTTTGGAAGAAGGCTATTATGCACCCAAGGTATTCTGTGCTAAGGACGCTTCCATCCAAGAGGTCAAAGTCCACAGGAGGAAATGGAAAGGCAAACCACAATTACAATTCCGTGTGATACAAACTGATTTAAAACAAACAAACAAAAAAAAACCTGCACAGGGTGCTGTAATACTCAAAACAAGATAATAAACTCTGAGGATTCAGAGATGGAGTCATTATCAGGGAAGCCTTTAGAGGGAAGATGAAACCTGATTGAGGAAAGTAAATATTCTCAGCGGGGTGGTTTTGTATACAGAGTGGAATGGCGCAGTGGTTAAGCATTCGGCTGCTAACTGAAAGGTCAGCGGTTCAAACCCACCAGCTGCTCTGCAGAAAAAAAGATACAGCAGTCTGCTTCTATAAAGAAAACCCTCTGAGGCACTTCTAATCTGTCCTTTAATAGGGGTCCCTATGAGTTGGAATCGACTCGAACAGCAATAGGATACAGAGTGGAAGGGATAAGAAGGGACACTGGCTTTACTATAACTTGTCATCCCATTTGAAACAAAATTGCATGGTAAATTAATTGCATGAATATACACCTGCTTAAGGACCTTTCTTTTGTAATTCAATCTTCCTCTAAAAAACTACCTTCCCTCAGGTAATACTGGGTTACACCCACAGGCCAATGGAGCCGTGCCTTTCAGTAGGTTGTCTTGGGGGAGGGGATCTGTTCAGAGGTGGAACTCCAGAAAATGTGACAATCAGAAGTAAAAAAACAAAAATAAAAACACTCCTGTGTAAATTCCCGGAGGTCTATGCCAAGAAATTTGGAAGACAGTTACCTGGCCAACCAACTGAAAGAGATCCATACGTGTGCCCATTCCAAAGAAAGCTAATCCAACATAATGTGGAAATTATGGAACAATATCATTAATATCACACACAAGCAAAATTTTAATGAAGATCATTCGAAAGTGGTTGCAGCAGTACATCAACGGGGAACTGACAGAGATTCAAGCAGCATTCAGATTGCTGATGTCAGATGGATCTTGGCTGAAAGCAGAGAATGTCAGAAAGATGTTGTCATAAACAGGCCTACAAACAATAATACACAAGAAGAACATGCTTCCTAGATCAATCAAGTATACGAGACCGTCTTAGTTATCTAATGCTGCCATAACAGAAATACCACAAGTGGATGGCTTTTAACAAAGAGGAATTTATTGTCTCAGTCTAGGAGGCCAGAAGTATGAATTCAAGGTGCTAGCTCCAGGGAAAGGCTTTCTCTCTCTGTCGTCTCTAGGGGAAGGTTCTTGTCATCAATCTTTCTCAGTCAAGGAGCTTCGCAGCGCAAGGACCCTGGGTTCAAAGGACATAATATTCTCCTGGCTCATATTTCTTGGTGGTATGAGGTCCCCAGGTCTCTCTGCTTGCTTCTCTCTTTTATATCTCAAAAGAGATTGGCTTAAAACACAAACTAATCTTGTAGATTGAGTCCTGCCTCATTAACATAACTGCTGCTAATCCCACCTCATTAACATCATAGAGGTAGGATTTACAACACATAGGAAAATCACATCAGATAACAAAATTGTGGACAATCACACGATACCTGGTAATCATGGCCTAGACAAGTTGACATATATTTTGGGGGGACACAATTCAATCCATAATATTCCACACTTGGGCCCCTAAAAATTCATGCCCTTGCCACATGTAAAACATATTCACCCCATCATATCATAGCAAAAGTCTTAAATCAACTCCAAGTCCAAAATCCAAAAATTCCTCATCTGTGAAATCTAGAATACAAGTTATCTGCTTCCAAAGTACAATGGTGGAACAGGCAGGCACAAGCTAGACATTTCCATTACAAATGGGAGAAATTGGAGGGAAAGGGATAACAGGCACCAAGCAAGTCAGCAGAACACATTACAGGAGCCCTCAAGGCTTTGAAAATAATCCTCTGTTCTCTGGGACCAATTACACAATGGCCCTGCCCTCCAGACTCTATATATTGGCCACACTCTCTGGATTCTGAGTGGAGGTCCCTCGCCTCTGTTCTTCAGCTCCACTTGCCAGGCCCACTGAAATGGCAACTCTGCTCCCTCTACTCCCTCTAATTTGGGCAGCCCCATTCTCCTAGTCCATCTGAGTGGTGACGCCACCCTTTGAGACCCCAGAGGTCATGGCCCTACCCTTTGAGACTCAGGCTGCTTTGCTTCCTGGGATCCTTGGCTCTTCACCTTCTGCTTCCTAGTTCCTTGACCTCTTGGCCCCTCGGGCCTCACTGCCCATGTCTGCCCTGCTGGAACAAGTGTTCCAAAGCTCTGTAGTTCCACCGATAAGTGCCTGGAGATACCCCACTCTGCCAGTAAACTTCAACTGGAAGGCACTCAGCTCTTTTGCTCCGTGGGTGGGTCCGCAAGCCTAGCTCCACCAATAAGTGCTTGGAGGCACCACATTCAGCTCTGTCACTCCATGGATCAGCTCAAGCACTGTCTTGCATTGGTCTCCTGGTTCTGCCGCTGCTTCTCACCATCTGCACCATCTCCAGTGTAACAGCTCTCCTCACTTCCTTCTGAGTCCTCAACAGAATTGTCTTTGACATCCATAATTCCACCAACAGTCTCTTCAATGCACTCTAGGCTTTTACTATTAGGCACTTTAAAATTCTTCCAGCCTCTGTCCATTCAGTTTCAAAACTGCTTCTACATTTTCAGTATCTGTTAGAGCAGCACCCCACTCTTAGTACCAAATTCTTTCTTAGTTATCTAGTGCTGCTACAACAGAAATACAAGTGGACAGCTTTAACAAAGATAAATTTATTCTCTCACAGTCTAGGACTACAGAAGTCTGAATTCAGGTGCTAGCTCCAGGGGAAGGTCCTTGTCATCAATCTTCCCCGGTTGAGGAGCTTCTCAGTCTAGGGACCCTGGGTGCAAAGGACAAGCTACTCTCCTGGCTCCTGTTTCTTGGTGTTATGAGGCCCCCAAGTCTATCTATTTGCTTCTCTCTTTTATATGTTAAAAGAGAGTGGCTTAAGACACAACCTGAGCTTGTAGATTGAGTCCTACCTCATTAACATAACTGCCACTAATCCCACCTCATTAACATCACAGAGGTAGGATTTACAACACATAGGAAAATCACATCAGATAACAAAATTGTGGACAATCACACAATACTGGGAATCATGGCCTAGCCAAGTTGATACACATTTTGGGAGGAATCAATTCAATCCATAACAGATGTTTACCTGTGTTTTATTGACTATGCAAAGGCATTTAACTGGGTATCATAACAAATAACATTGCAAAGAATGGGAATTCTAGAACACTTAATTGTGCTCATGAGGAACCTGTACATAGACCAAGAGGCAGTGGTTCGAACAGAACAAGGGGATACTACATGGTTTAAAATCAGAAAAGGCGTGCATCAGGGTTGTATCCTTTCACCATACTTATTCAATCTGTATGCTCAGCAAATAATTCAAGAAGCTGGACTATATGAAGAAGAATGGGGCATAAGGATTGGAGAAAGACTCATTAACAACCTGCGTTATGCAGATGACACAACCTTGCTTGCTGCAAGTGAAGAGAACTTGAAGCACTTACTGATGAAGATCAAAGACCACAGCCTTCAGTATGGATTACACCTCAACATAAAGAAAACAAAAATCCTCACACTGGACCAAAATGCAACATCATGATAAACAGAGAAAATACTGAAGTTGTCAAGGATTTCATTTTACTTGGATCCACAATCAATGCCCATAGAAGCAGCCGTCAAGAAATCAAATGACACATTGCATTAGGCAAATCTGCTGCAAAAGATCTCTTTTAAGTACTAAAAAGCAAAGATGTCACTTTAAGGACTATGGTGGCCTGACCCAAGCTACCATATTTTCAATTGCCTCATATGCATGTGAAAGATGGGCAATGAGTAAGGAAGATTGAAGAATTGATGGCTTTGAATTATGGTGTTGGCGAAGAACATTGAATATACCATGGACTGCCAGAAGAATGAACAAATCTGTCTTGGAAGAAGAACAGCCAGAATGGTCCTTAGAAGAGAGGATGGCAAGACTTCGTCTTATGTACTTTAGACGTGTTATCAGGAGGGACCAGTCCCTGGAAAAGGACATCATGCTTGGTAAAGCAGAGGGTCAGCAAAAAAGAGGAAGACCCTCAATGAGATGGGTTGACACAGTGGCTACAACAATGAACTCAAACATAACAATGATTATGAGGATGGTGGGGAACCCGGCAGTGTTTCCTTCTATTGTATGGAACTGACTTGATGGCACCTAACAACAACAAAAAAGAAACTTCTACCCCTCCCTACTCTGAAACACATGGAGTTGCCATGAGCCAGAATCTACTTTGCGGCAACCGGTGTGGTTTGGTTACCCCCACCTACCAAGTCATATCAAGCAGAAACAAAAGAAAAGAAAATCTGCACAATAACACAATTGAAAGTTGCCTCAGTTACTACACATAAACCAAACCCATTGCAGTCGAGACTAGTGACACTATAGGACAGGACAGAACTGCCCCGTGTTTCCTAGGCTGTAATCTTCATGAGAGCAGATTGCCACATCTTTCTCCCGTGGAGCAGTTAGTGGGTTCAAACCACCAAACTTTCGGTTAGCAACTGAGTGCTTAACCACTGCACCACCAGGGCTCCTTTCAGGCACTACCAAAAAACCCATCCAAGGGTTTCCAAGGAATGGCTGGTGGATCTGAACTATCAACCTTTTGGTTCAGACAGAGGGAAATTAGATGCAAACATACAATGGCCTTCCATTTTGCACACCAGGAAGTGGCCCAGGGGTAGGTAGCTCCTCACCTAAGTTTACTGTTTCAGTTCATTTGGAGCCAATACTAACCTACCAAAAACTAGTCCTGGATAGCTACCTGGCTGTGGCAACTAGCTCTAAGAAGGAAACTGAGCCCAATAATTTCCTGAGGTTTTTTTCCACCATCCAGGCTAGTCATGTGTAAAACTCTCTTATCCAGTACAGTGACTCTCCACACCAGGAGCAATGTGGCACCCTTCCCCTCCTCCCACCGAGAATGACTGCCCTGATGCATAGGAATGCAGAAAGCTGAATACCAGACAAATAGTTAAGTGACATGAAGCACTGATTGGAAAAATCCTAATACAAAAAACCCAGCAAATATTCTTACATCAAGGAGCCCTGGTGGCACAATGGTTAAGAACTTGGCTGCTAACCGAAAGATCAGCGGTTCAAACCCACCAGCGGCTTCTCAGGAGAAAAGACCTGGAGATCTGCATCCATAAAGATTATAGCTTAGGAAACCCTATGAGGCACTGTCCAGTAGGGTCGCTATAAGTCAGAACCCACTCCACAGCACACAAAAACCCCCTTACGTCAGTCTCTTAGATCTCACCTCTAATTACTCATTTCATTCTCCCTTTGTATACATCAGGAAGAATCAGTTCATTTGTTTGTGTTCAAATACAAATCTTGGTTCTCCCACAAGGGACACCTTCCACTAACGGATAGTTATCACAGAAAGGTGGAGTCACAACGGGCCAGGCAAGCCTAGAAAGGGCAGGGCAGCACCGTTTCCCAGCTTGTTTATACACGGAAGGAATGTCCTCCAAAGGAGCGATAGCCATCAGACAAGTAACGCCATCTGGTGGATTCAACAGAGCATTTCTAAGAAACTCAAAGCCAACCTTCTGCCAAAAAGGGGTAGGCAGAACTTAAACCCCTGGTGTGGGGGGAAGACTACCCTGGTACTCCTAAACAAAATAGTAATTCTGGAAGAGAAAGTTCTCAGCTGATTTGCTCACATACTAAATTGACATTATTAATATGCACCTTATCAATGACACTGTAATTACTGTGGTATCCCTAGTCAAATTGAAAGCTGTAATTACATTCTACAGACTTAAAGCTTACCTTCAGCTTCTCTCTAAGGACCTTTCAGTTCCCTGATTCTACATCATCTATGGTTTGTGGCACGTTTGTTTCTGATCTGACGTGGCTGTGTTGATGAAAGTTCAGGAAAGACTACATGAGAGATGGCTTTAAGAAAGTCATCAACTCATCAAGAAATAGTTATTGACTATCTATAATGTGCCAGGCACAGTTCTAGGCTCTGGGCTCACAGACTACACAACCAAGTCCCTGCTCTCATGGAGCTTACAGACTAGTGAGGGTGGGGGCAGAGAAGGAAGAAGTAAAAACGTTAACAAGATGAGGTCAGAAGTGAACATAACTTGAAAAGGTAGTGTGAGAGGAAAAGGAGGAACTGAGGGGTCATTAAATAGGGTGGTGAAAGGACTCTTGGAAATCACATTTGACATCCAAAGACAAGCTAGCCTTCTCATGATGAAATTTGTTTTTAAAAACAACTATTTCAGAACATATATCCAGATGAGTCTCTTTGAAAACTCCATTGGGACTCCTCTTTGGTTTTTGCCTTCAGAGCCAATGCATGCACTCAGTTAAGAAAAGCAGGCTGAACTCAAAGCAGCATTATGCAGCTTAATCACTTCTTTCTTTGACCCTGAATGTCTTTGGGATGTTTCTAAAAATGAATTCCATCTCAGAGCGTAAATATTTACCCAACATTTTGGTGGGAAAATGTGCAGTAAGTTCTCAAGAGCATTGAGAACTCTGTGAGGTCCTTCCGTTTTCTTGGTGGATACTATCTCCAATGGACACACATCTCCGGCAGTTGTGCTGTTCTTCCGCTATGAAGGTCCTCATCCTTCTAGGTAAGAATCTACAAAACAGCAGTGAAAATAAAATATTTGACAAAAAAGAAAGGGAGAAACTAGAAGAGAAGGATGGTACTGACATAAAGGGAAGGGTAAGAGATTAAAATGAACAAAATCTGAAAAATTGCTCCAAAGGTCCTTACCTTGTAGTTCAGTTTTCTAGACTTTCAATCCCGTTAGACCACTGGGGTATCCTCCCCACGCGTCAAGCAGCCCACTTTTCACAAATTGGTTTCCCCATCTTTCCCTGGTGAGATTAGGGAGCCTGGCAGTTGTAAAATAATTCAAATTGCTGACATTGTAATACATACCTCCCCCACCCACCGCAGGGTGTTCTCCATTCCATGTACAGAATGATTTCTCTGATGTCATACCTGCTACTGAAATGTATTAGCTAAAGCATTATAGGTTTTGCTTGATGAATCCTCAGAGTCAGCAGAGGTAGAAATCTATTTATCCTACTTATTACACCTACTGTTATAAATCTCCATATCATGCTGCCTTTGTATTTTATAGCCGTAAATGACCTACACAAACGTAAGTCTCACTGAAGCATATCCAGGAAGGACAAGACTGGTATGTTTTGTATTGATCACAAAGCACTCAACTAAGTCCATAAAGAATCCTAATTACAGATGTAGGAAGATTCCAATTAGCTAACATTTGTGCCATAATCAGTTAAGTGAAGAAATATCAAAACCTCTTTTGACACATAAAAGGAAACTAAGCCTCTTAGCTCCAGAAGGTATCCTGGGCAGCATGTCTGTTCCTTAGAATGTATCAAGAATGCCTTTGTCCAGCTCTATAGTAGATATTTCTATAAACAAAATGTACTTTTATGAGAAAAAATGAAGATATTTCCATTTTTATTCAAAACAGGTACAGAGGAGAGTCCAAAGTAAGACTCCAAATGAGAATATGTAAGACCACCAAATTCTCAAATCTATGTGTCAACATTTCTGAGGTCAGCAACTAAATATTTGTTTTAAACTTTCTATTGAAGTAGAAAACACAGCACCATGTCTGTATCAGGACCCAGCCCCACTGCCATCAAGTCGATTCCTACTCACTGAGACCCCATAGGGTGTCCAAGGCTGTAAATCTCTACGGAAGGAGACTGTCACATCTTTCTCCTGTGGAGCCACTGGTGGTTTCAAACCACCGACCTTCCGGTTAGCAGTCGATCGCTTTAACCACTGTGCCTCCAGGGCTCCTTATATCAGGGAAGGCATAAATCTGGCTGGATGTGAAGATGGTTATTTCCATACACCTTCCTGGGGAGAGACAGCTTTTTTGACCCCAAGATGATTTAAAAAAAAAGTATAACCTGGGGCTATGAATTCAGTATGTACTAAACATTGATGATCTAAACTAAATGTTACTTTCTCTCCTTCCTTCCAGTTCAGAAATACACTTTTAGTAACTTTTCTTCGTTAGTTGGATCCAAATGCTTGAATTACAAAAGCTGTTATTGCTTAGTACACTAATAGACTTGCCATAACCCAAATGTCTTTTCCTTCAGCATAAGTCTGTTCTTTCTTATGATACCATCATATGTAGTCAGTATTATAATGAGAACATCATGATTCATATAACATGGTTATCATGAATAATAAGCATAAAACAGAGAAGCAGACAGCCCTGCTACTTAGGAGAAACACTATGCTAAGCCACCATATAAATGTTACTGCTTCTGTGAATACACCATTTATTTAACTGTTTTCTTCGCAGAAGTCGACAGCTGAGGTCAATTTTAGAATCAAATTGCTAAGACAAGAATAGATAAATACACAGAGACCAACACTCATGGATGGTCACCAGGGATGGGGTGGGGCGAGGAGGAAGCACTCTTGAGATAGTAGACACTTGTTATTTTTGGTAATAGAAAAGGTAGCATCGAATATGGGTGACATGCACACAGCCTGACCAAGGTAAATGATGTCACTAAGAAATACACAAGAGGAAAGGGCGTTTTTGGTAAAGGATATGACAAATGCTACTTTGCAACAACACCAACAACTAAAAATGCTTTTTGTTACACAAATACATATATAGGTACATATGTGTATCAGTATGACTATGTGGGCACATACGTATGCATAGACAGACGTATCTTTGGGCATATATACATATAGGTTTGTTGTGCATGCATGTATATCCACATATATAATAAGCCACATAGGGGACACAGGTACAGATACCTCTTAGACATCACCAAATGCCTTGCAAGACTGTTTTTCTGGGTTTGAAGGCTTAGGACCATAGTTTCATGAGATAACTCAGTTACTTGGCGCAATATAGTTCATAAAGTGTATGTCCTACATCCCAATGTGGTGAGTAGTGTCTGGGATGTTAAAAGCTTGAGTGGCCATCTAAGATACAACTGTTGTCTCTATGCACCTGGAACAAAAGAGAAAGAAGGAATCCTGACTCAGGGGAGAAAGCAGTCTACAGGACTAGTAGTCTACACGAATCACTGCCTCATCCACCCTGAGACCAGAACTAGGTGGTGCCCAACTACCACTTTCCACCGTTCTGATCAGGGCCACAATAGATGGATCCTGATACAATGGGAGAAAAATCTGAAACAACTCAAATTCTTAAAAAGTCCAGACTTGCTGGACTAGCTGAGACTGGAGGACTCCCTAAGACTGAGATAATCTTTAAACTTTAAAGTGAAATCATCCCTTGAGGTCACCTTTTAGCTAAATAACAGACTGGTTCATAAAATAACAAATATCACTTATGAGTAATGAATGAGGTCCTTTAAAAAAACCACCCAGATGAGATCAAATGGTCAAAAATTACTCTAAAGCAAAGACGAGAAGGTAAGGGGGCAGGGAAACAAGAGTACTGGAAATGGTACAAATAAAACAGAACGAATGAGAATGATGACACATTATGTAACTAATACCACCGAATAATCTGTGTAGAAATTGTTAAATGAAAACCTAATTTGCTGTGAAACTTTCACCTTAAATACAATGGGTCTTTCATATTGAGAACCAAAGTCTATTACTAAACTGTGGTTTGTAATTATATTTATCCTCACCATCCCTCCCCTTCATTAGATGAGGTGCCATCTGCATGTCATATAACCTTTTTAAACCATAAGAATTCATCCAGCACCTCCAAAGTTTATAGTGCTTCTAGAAAAATATGTGATTTAATCCTGAAAATCCTGCTCAAAACCAATTCCAAAACCAATGTGAAATACTATGAAACATACACTGTTTAACCAAAATATCATGTAACAGTTAATAACTGCAAATATATTTATTACAATTTACAGATTAGTTAACAGTTTTATATACAAATATAATTTTAGCTATAAAATCCCAACAAACTGGTTACATTTAAATCATTAGATCTGCAGAAGCCAATTTAGAAGTCTTCTAGTCCCCTAACTTCACCTTCCTTAAATTATAAAAAAATAAATCTGATAGCTTTGATTTCAAGTTAAAGAGGCGCTGTTATCACATTTCAACACTCAGAAATAGAAATGTTACCTGTCTGTATAGTCTTTCACATGCTACACTGACACTTAAAGCACCATTACAAGACTTTAAATGTGTGAAATATTCAATTAAAACCTCCAAGGATTTTATTTCTAAGACTGTGGGGATCTAACTGTTCTAACTAGGATTGGGATGAGACAATTCTTTTTTGTTCTGTTTTTCCTTCAGTCCAACTTAAAAATGGTCCCTTCTGTCCTTCTCATCATGTCTGTCCATTTCTTTTAGAGGAGGGAGGTATACGGGTGAACGTTTAACCAGCTTTTACTCAAGTTTTTTGGCAGTGAGGTTCGAATGTCAAGGGAACAATTTTCCAAAATCCAATGAATGTAAAGATGCCCTGTTATTTTCAAACATGCAGGGGTGCTAGATTTCAGAAACACAAAACACAACCTAAGTCTTTGAAATAAAATAGTATGCTTCAGTCTCATTTTAGAAAAATACCCTTACATTTGAAAAAAAGCTTTTTTCAAGGCAAATGATGCCTGCTTTCCAACTGACACAGCTGGTGCTTGAAGAGCCTGTTTCCATGGTATTAATGCATTCCCTACATTACCTGAAGTGGAGGTGCACTGGACAAGAATAAGGGCTCTGAAAAAACAGGACCAATCTTTGTGGTGTTGCACTCTCAGTGTGTAAGAACGTGTGTTAACACTGGAGGCAGTTCTTAGAGCAAACAAATAGGAATAAAGTAATGACCAGGTAGATTATAAACTGAGGTAGTAACCCTGTATGTGCTTCCGATGAAAACTTCATTCCCATACTGAAACAAGTTCCAAATTAAGAAGGCATCTACCCTACTCATGTCTTCCCCTATCTGTGCCAGGAGGTACATGGAGTAAAAACAGACTAGTAACGAGTTGGTTAATATTCCCTCAACCTAACAGATGCACACCAGGAAGAGCTAACCAAGTAAACCAAGCACAACCAGTCACTACAAAAACTTTGATTCAAAAGTAAACTCTGGGCTAAAGATATTTAGACTTTCTAGCTGGTCAATCTATAATTCTACCCTTTCCTGAGAGAAGTCAGGCCTTGCTATTACTTCTCCCATTAAAATAATGGAACACGATAAACTTGGATAGTGACTAAGTCTGTATTTTACATTTTAAACTGGAAAATTCAGAACTTCACCCTGACAGGTTATAAAAGTGACAGTGCTGAGGCATAAGATTAATAACACTGTTTTTTTGTTGAGAGTATACAACAAAACCAAATTGCTCTGAGACGTCTCCTATCTTCTTCTGAGGAAAACTCTAGGCTTTTAAGTTTAAAAAATAAATGCCTATGATGCAATTATTACTCTCTGGAGTCTTTTACAACCTCCACCTGTTGAATGATACAAAGAACCACATTCAACTGGCAACTACAATAACATATACAGAAGTCCCTCCATAGAGCAGTATGCACAGAAATTAAATATATTAGATGTTATATTTGGCAGAAAGATGCAGCTTTCCCGAAGTAGTCGAGAGTACTACCCATGTAGGATTTGTGACAGTCCTTGGAAATAACTTAGGCAAAACAGAAACTAAAAATAAAAATCCTCCATACATTTTCAACCAGTCATTAGAAAAAAAAAAAAATATGATACAAGATAATATACTTTAACTTGGTAACATATACAAGATTATTTCCTTAGCCATAAGGTAGAAGGCCAAATCACTGAAATCAAATATACAGAGAAAACACAAAAGCCTACTAATTTCAAAATGTTATGGAGAGAAAGAGTGAGCCCAAAGTTTTTAGACAGCTATACATAATTTAAATTAGAACTGAAAAGGGCTTTGAACCCTATAAATATTGTTTCCCAAGAAAATAAGTTTTGAAAGTGCAAAATTACAACATAAAAGGTCCCCTTTTCAGTTCAACAAGCAAATAGCATTCAAAAACACATACAATTAAATCATAAAAGAAATGTCTTCAAAAAGGAAAGGATTAGAAATAACCACACTATCTCATCCTTCAATTCTGGATATTTCCGAGTGAGATATGTTGCAAAGAATATTAAACTAGGTCACTGGATCCAAGTTGCATTTCCTTTAAAAAGAATGTCAAAGGACAGCTGCCAATTTTTGTTTTTAAAAGAAACCTCTCAAGTAGGAGGTAGTGTATGCTAGGGCTAGAGGCCGTCAAATCACCTTAACATTGCTTGTTAAGTCCTTTGAAGCATGTTTCTTGGAGTCTATTAAACATTCTTTCTCTGTGCTCAAATGTCAAGCAATATCCAATAGCATCTTCGGTTTCTTGAATTCGTTTCTGGAACCTGCATCCATCACGCGCAAGTTCCTCCCAGGGTCCTTTACGATCCTCATCACCACTTATATAATACTCAGTAACTTCTTCAAGAAAGGTTACCTATAAAAACAAAGACTAATTTAATAACTCTCTAGGATCTTACAATTAGCACTGAGGTCAATAACCCTTTATGCTACTAGTTCTTTCAGAATAACACATATTATAGGAATGCTTGGTCCCAACCATAAAAGTAGCAAAAAAAGAAAAAGCTCTGACTGGATGGGCAACTGCCACTTGAATTTCTTTCATACATATGGATTTATGTATGTGTGTGTTGTGTATATATAAACATATCTTCCCCCCTTCACTTTTGATGTTAAAAGAATCCAGATGGAGAACTGATATTTTCCTATTATTAATCCCTGCTTCTTTAATCCTTAAGAAAACACAGTTGTAATATTCTTCCCTCGAAAATGACCAAAGTGTCCAAAGAAACTATTTCAGAAAATCACCACGACATCCCTGGAAGTTAATGCTTTTATTACAGCACAAAGGCTTTAACAACGTTTTCACTTCTATTTTTCCTTCAAAAAAAATTTACTCCTTAGTGCTTTTTTTGGATCATAGACCCTTATTTCTATTTTTGTATTATTAATTTTGTAATCAGAATATAGAAGAGAAAGTTACTTGGTAAACAAAGTGCAGCAAAATTAATTTATATCTTAAAGGCTTGTTACTAAAAAAGACTTTGTAGTTGAGATACAAACTCTCTTTGTATTTCCACTCAGCGGTGGCGCAGTGGTTAAGGGCTAGGCTGCTAACCAAAAGGTCAGCAGTTCAAATCCACCAGCAGCTCCTTGGAAACCCTATGGGGCATTTCTACTTGTCCTATAGGGTCGCTATGAGTCAGAATTGGCTGGATGGCCAACGGGGATTTTATATTTACATGAAACTGTAAATATTTCAATATACAGGATGACATGCAACGAGTGACAGTCCTTTTCAACCCCTATTTAATTTCTAATACAGAAGTTTCTAAGATAGTAAACTACAAAAGTAAATACTTGCTTTAAAGTACGTTCTATAGTTACATCAGCCAATCCCACTGTGGCCTACTACTTTCATTCTCTTTACATCAGGCCTGGGAATGCCCCTGAGGACAATTAGTAGGTATGTAACACCTTACTAAATATTGCATTCTAGTCATTACTCTTTCACTGAGTCACTAAGATAAATAACAACAAGCACTATATAATAACAAACACATAATGTTTGTTGTTGTTAGGTGCCATCGTGTTTACCATATGCCAAAGCACTTTACAATTTTTATCTCATTTAATCCTCACACCAACCCTATGAGCTGTGTACTATTATCATCCCCACAGTAGATACAGGCAAGATAGGCACAGAGAGGCTAACTGACCTACCCAAAGTCACACAGATGCTTAGTGGTGTAATCAGGATTCCAACACTGAGTCTGGCTCCATAATGTTCACTATGTTATGCCATGACACAAAGCATTGTAAACTAGATCTGAAAGCTTCATTCCAATAGATCAGGCACTACCCGTTTTTCTCTTAAAGAATGGCAAGTGGCCAAAGGCTGTCACATAATCTCACCATCTTTTAGACATAATCTTTTACAAGTTTTGGTTTTAGTTCATAGTCTCATGTCTGCTTACTCATCTCATTTTACTCAACGAGCAAAGCTAAAATGAGACACAAGACTGTCCTGAGGTCCCTGAGCAATAAGAGCTACCATATAAAGGCAAGGCAATGAATTACAACTTTTACTTACTTTACTCGTCCCATTTAAATCGTGCAATAACTCACACAGTAGATACTGTAACTGTTTCCACAGATAAATGAGTGAATCAAAGCCATAAGAGGTCATGTAACTTCCCTGGCCTAACCACTCAGGGATGGAGAACACCCGGCTCCAGGTGCCCAGTGCTCATTCCACTGCCCCACTTTGTTTACCTATCCACTCTAAATAGGTTTTGTCAGGGGCCCCTACAAGGACAGAGAAAAGCTCTTTTATCATCACATTTACTTCAGTGTGAGCTAAATTTTAATTTTTAACATGACTTGTTCTGCTTCTAAAGTAAGATATAAGATTACCGGCATTTAGAAACATGTTATACTCCCGGAATAGTTTGGAACCTGTAGATCATGGTACTGTACTGTACACGTGAGGCTCCTGATGTTGCTGAATCTGAAGTCAGTAACAACTCACCCACCTTTCTCCTTCCAAATAAACGTTTAGTAGCTAAAGAAAACTTCCCTCTACAAAAACAAAACAAAACAAAAAAAAAACCCTTGTGCATTTGGTGGATTTTTTTTTTCAATTAATAACTTTAGTTGAACTAACAGTAAAGAAAAAAAAGGCAATTCAAAAAACTCCCCAAATAAGGTTAATCTGATAATATGCTGTAAGAGCAAAATGCTCCATGAAGTTTTAAGACTAGCCTGAGAATAGGAAGTGACCATTATTGTTTACATATAATTTTCAACTTGCAGCTGGCCAATGATAACTAACCAATGACTGCTAACCGAAAGTTTGACGGTTTGAAACCACTAGCAGCTCTGCAGGAGAAAGATGTGGCAGTCCGCTTTCATAGACATTTACAGCCACGGAAACCCTATGGGGTCGCTATGAGTCGGAATCAACTTGATGGCAGTGGGTTTGGTTTTTTGATGATAACTAGTATTGCATTAAGGGAATATCATTTTCTGTATTGTTTTTGACTGTCAATCAAAACCATGTAAACGTCGAAAAAGTTTTTACACTGAAACTAATATTTTCTTTCCTGGCAAACAACCAAATAAATCTGAACTGGTGCCATCAGCCCTTTGGGTTCTAGTGGACAAGAATGAGGACACTGACACAAAGGAAAGACTGGTCCAAAGGACTCATGGACCACAACTGCCAAGGCCTCCATCAGACTGAGTCCAGCACAACGAGATGGTGCCTGGCTACCACCACTGACTGCTCTGACGGACCACAACAGAGGATCCCGGACAGAGCTGGAGAAGAATGTAGAACAAAATTCAAACTCACAAAAAATGACCAGACTTAACTGGTCTGACAGAGACTGGAGAAACCCCAAGAGTATGGCCCCCGGACACCCTGTTAACTCAGTACTGAAATCACTCCTGAGGTTCACCCTTCGGCCAAAGATTAGACAGGGCCATAAAACAAACAATAATACCCGTAGCTCAACCATGTATACGTGACTAAATCGGCACACCTCCCAGGGGCAAGGACCAGAAGACAGGAGGGGACAGGAAAGCTGGATGAATGGAAACGGGGAACCCAAGGTCAAGAAGGAGGGAGTGCTGACACATCGTGGGGTTGGCAACCAATGTCACAATATGTGTATTAATTGTTTAATGAGAAACTAATTTGCTCTGTAAACCTTCATCCAAAGTACAATTAAAAAAAAAAAAAGAGGACACTGTTATCATGGAAGTAAAATATTAAGTGTCTGCCAGGACATATGAGTCGGAATCGACTCAACAGCGACAGGTTTGGTTTTTGTTTGATTAATGACATGTCACGTGAAAACCATTTAAAAATTCTGTGGTTATAATAGGGCCATCCCAATCTCTAGAAAAATTGTGTATATTTCTGTTCCTTGAAAAACTGTGAAAAGCTGAAGCCTGTAGGGAACCTGCCAACTCGTTTAGAGGTCCTCTGCAAAAACATGCACTACTATTCCTCCAAAAAAGTCATGCTGCTATATTCAACCATATCAAAACAGTAAGAACAAATTACCAGGCATGTTAAGAGAAAGCAAGCAAACAAACCTTTTTTCTTTTGATAAGCCTGTGTCTTTCCCCAGAAAGAAACTGGCAGTGTACCAGGTCTGGACAGTCATTTCCTTGGCTCCCTAACTGCTGCACTTTACAAGAAAGTAAGGTGTGACACTCAGAAATGGCCACAAAGGACTCAGATGGTCTCTCTGAGTCACGATGGCCTTTCCAGTTTTTCCCTGATGTCTGAAAGGGAGCCTTAAAATTCAAAAGGTTGTAGGGGTCATCAGAGTTACAAAAAGAGTTCCACAGTTGGAGACTCTCGGCCTCATCTGCACTAGATTCCCAGTCATCTTCCTCTCCAGAACTCTGGTCAGGAGACTCAGGAGGGCTTCTAGTCTGGGGAGAATCCTCTAGATCAGATTTGTCGGACAAATCGTTCTCTGAATCAGAGGGCCCTCCAGGGCCAATGCTGGCCGCAGTCTGAATCGCTGCTGTAAAGTTCTGGGGATTGTAAGGATCTACACTGTAGAAAGAGTTCCAAAGGTGAAGCCCTTCAGTGTCTTGTTCAAGGTCTGACTCTGAAAGAGAGCTATCACTGTCAAAACCATCATCCTCCACATCCTCATCCCAATCCTCACCTTCAGAATCAGAACTTGACTCCAGGTCACTGGACCCACCTCCCAAAATGTAACCTATCAACTTGTTGCTACAGGCTGGTCTGGCAGACATGGGAAGGTCATCTTCTATGATTGAGTAGTTAACCCCACTAACTTGGTCCTCTCCAGGCTCTTTATCCACAGATATCTCACAAGATGGACAGTTTCCCAAAGGGCCCTGTTTTTCCAGAGCAAGTGGAACCTCTTTAGTCAACAATTCTATGTTTTCCTCAGGGACTTCCTGGCAGGTTCCAGGAATGGCTTCCACAGAGGAAACAAACTGTGCTGGGTTCTCTCTGCAGTGTTGTGGATCAATTCGAAGAAGGCTGTGCTCCTCCTCCAGGCTGTGATAGCCATGATCTTGGTCAGGGGTGGGTAATGTTTGCCCTCTGTTAGCCTGCTGCAGGAACTCCAGCCGTTTCATGCGAAGATGGTGGATTTCAGGCAGGCCTTCGGTAGAAAGAGGTGGGCATCCCTGCCACGAGGCTCCAGTGACCTCTGCATTCAGTGGCTGGGGGTGACAATGCTCATCAATCAGGCAGCTGCTCTCTGGAGTCAGAGTCTGGCAATCCACGAGCTCGCCACTTCCCACGCTGTTCTGATAACTGAGCTCTACCTGGGGAAGGCAGTCCAGGTAGGAGGGCTTCAGCAAACAGGAGACTACGTCGAAGTTGCTTAGGCGCTGAATGTTGAGAGCCTCTGAGGGCGAAGAGCCAAGTTCCTGGTCGGAGAAGAGCTGGGCTTGAAGGCTACTCGTCAACAGCTCCACTCTCCACAGCTGCTGCTCTAAGAGGAAAGCGTGTGCCGCAGGGTACAAAGCACGTCCTTTGGCTTTAAGTGCCAATTCTACATCTGGGGACAAGCACTGCCAATGGATCCCCTCCTCTACCCAATCAAGGTGGCTGGCAGCCGAGTCGTCCGAGAGGTCGAGCCGCAGCGAACTTACAGATTTCTGGGCGGTGGGGGCGGCAGGTCCGTCCCGTCCCCTCAGGGCGCTATAGCCTGCAGCCAACTCCAGCCATCTGGTAGGAATGAGCCCACCGAAAAGCTGGCTCCAAATCAGCAGCTTCTGAAACAAGCTGGGAAGCGGCGTAAAGAGCTGGGAAAGCAGCTTCATCCAGTAGCTGGTCCGAACCTCGGGCTGAGAAGAGGAAGCGAGTTTGGGGTTCCCGGAATTCTCCGGGGCGGCGGGTGTCGGGAACTTGGAAGAGCCTGGCGGTGATCGCCAAGGGAAGAGGAAGGGCAGCCGGAACCGGGAGCCTGCCCGTCTCCGCGATCCGTCTGCTCCCTGCTCCATCTCCTTTTTCTTGGCAATCTCTCTACCCAGAGCTCAGCGGCTGGGGGTCGGACGCGATTCGGAGGAGGCCTAAACAGTCTTGGCCTTACCTAGAGGCGGAGTTGGTGCTCCAGGCCGATCCCCGGGCCAACAGAGGTGCCACAGAGGAAAGCGGCTTCGGCAGCAGGCGGCAGACCGCAGCCCGGAAAGGCAGGGACAGGACGACGCAGCTGAGGCGAGAGCCATCCTGGCGAGGAAGGAGGTGGCCTAGTCCGCTCGAGGCCTCACCACCATAGATAGGAACCCTCCCACGGTGGCGACTTTCCAGAAGAGAGGGACCGTTAAAAAGCCCCTTAGCAGCGCGACACCGGAAGGACGGGGTAGGCAGGCGGGCGCGGTTGGAAGCAAAGTCCAAAATGGCCGCAGGGCCAGTGCTAGGAAGGACACCCCTGAACAACCGGATGAGACGAAGAACGGCAGAGACGTCTACGCCGCGAGGCCCGCGACGCCGAACGTCATTTGCAGAACACCGCGGGGCGGGTCTTTGCGCACACTTCCGTGTGGCCGCTGATTGGTCTCGCCCATTTCCCTGTCGGCTTCCTTACTCTCAGAGGACCCAGCTCACACGCGGGAGGTTGCATCAGCCTGGCCGTGGCTGTACGCGTGCGCAGTTGTTTTCTTGTGGTCTCCTAGGAGATCGCCCGGCTGCCCTCTGGGCTAAAGCGAAGGGGTTGGGGAGGTGGGGGTATTTCAAGATAACTGGAGAATTCCCTTGAGCCCTTTTAATGCCCTAATACACACCGAAGTGTATAAACTTACCTTATGTATCGAGGGTCCAGTATTTTTGAGAGCTGAGTAGATCATCAACCAGAGATTAGTATATACTGTACTTTGAGTCCGACTCAGAAGGTCGCCGTGAGTCGGAATCGACTGGACGGCAACAGGTTTGGTACTAAGAGTTGGGCAATGCTGTGTAGTAGGTACACACCTGGTGTTAAGACACTTAAATCTTAAGTGGAAAATGAATCATTCTTACGTATCCCTGTTCTCTCGGTTTTAGGGTTTCTAAATAACTACTTAGCGTTGCCTGGGATCTAGCTTTGAGGTGACATACTCAGGTACACGTTCGTTGCTTGGGTGGTGCGCCTACCAGACTGCCCCTCTCACTGTGGAGCAAACTGAAGTCACAGAGGAGGGAAGAAACTTAGTCCCCGGAACTTTACTCGAGTTATTGCTTCCCAGCAGGCAACACATTTAATTCATATTTTCTGAGCTCCCAAAACTACAGGGTACAGCACCCAAAGAAGAAAGCACAGACTATTATCTTTTGAAAAAAAATTGGCTGGTAATATTAATTGCTATGTTTGATTCTGTCTTGTGAATTTGGTCTTAGTTCATTTACTTATTTCTCCTAAAACTTTTAAATCCATACCCCTGAAGTTAAGTATCTATTACATAGGGAAGATAGCAGTAATGAGCACTAGGGAGAGCAGAAAGATCTTTGGGGAGCCAGGAAGAGGCCAGCTACTAGTCTTGCTTTATTAGGCCGGTTCAAGGAAACTTCTTTCTAGGAAGATTAAAAAAAAAAAAAAAAACCAACACCAAGTAGATTTTTGTGGAGTTGATTCTGACTCATGGTGACCGCATGTGTTACAGAGTAGAACATGGGGTTTTCTCTTTTTTTTTCTGTATTTTTTTTTTTTATTATACTTCAGGTGAAGGCTTACAGATCAAATAGTTTCTCATGAAACAGTAGTACACATATTGTTTTATGATACTGGTTAACAACCCCACAGCATGTCAACCCTCTCCCTTCTCAACCTTTTTTTGTTTTTGGTGAAAATACACATAGCCAAAGAGACACCATTTCAAAAATTTCTACATGCACAGTTCAGTGACATCGACTTTGCTCTTCCTATTGTGCTGCTATTCTCACTTAAGATGAAGGCTTACAGAACAAAATAGTTTCTCATTTAACAGTTACTACACATGTTGCCCTATGACAATGGTTAACAACCTCACAACACATCAACACTATCCTTACTCAACCTTGGGTTCCCTATCACCAGCTTTCTTGTCCCCTTCTGCCTTCTGGCCCTTGGCCCTGGACTACTGTACCTCATTAGTCCCATTTGGTTTTATGGGGCTGTCCACTCCCAGGCTGAACGGCGAACCTCGGAAATGACTTCACCACTGAGCTAAAAGGGTGTCTGCGGGCCATACTCTCAGGGTTTCTCCAGTCTCCTTTAGGCCAGTAAATCTGGTCTTTTTTTTGTGAGTTAGAATTTAGTTCTACATCCTTCTCCAGCTCTGTCCAGAACCCTCTGTTGTGATCCTGGTCAGAGCAGTCAGTGGTGGTAGCCAGGCACCATCTAGCTGTACTGGACTCAGTCTGGTGGAGGCCTTGGTAGCTGTGGTCCATTAGTCCTTGGACTAATCTTTCCCTTGTATCCTGTTCTCTTCATTCTCCCTTGCTCCTGAAGTGTTGAGACCAATGGAGTATCTTAGATGGCCGCTCAGAGGCTTTTAAGACACCAGACGCTACTCACCAAGGTAGAATGTAGAGCATTGTCTTTATAAACTGTGTTATGCCAACTGAGCTAGATGTTCCCTGAGACCATGGTCCCAACAGCCCTCCACCCAGCAATTCAGTCCCTCAGGGAGTTTGGATGTGTCTACGGAGCTTCATGACCTTTCCTTGTACAGGTTGTGCTGGCTTCCCCAGTATTGTGTACTGTCTTACCCTTCAACAAAGTTACCACTTATCTATTGTATAGTTAGTATTTCCCCACCCCACCAAGAATCTGTATTCTATTTGAAAGAAATATAGACAGAAGGGTTTTCTTAAGTATTTTCAGTTTCTTCTAACTACTTCACAATGAATAGACTCTTTGGGCCATATTATTATTATTACTTGTATTTAAATGTGAATTTATTTTCCATATTATTGGGTTAGATTTTCAGATATGCATCAACATCAACACGGACATTTACCCCTCGTTTAGCCTTCTATTACATTGCAGAGCTAATTCCCATTTTCTTTTAGAATTTAAAATATTGGCTATAAAATAACATTTTTTACTTTCTTAATATAGTAAGGATATTATATCAAATGCTCTGTGAATTTAGGATTTAACTTTTTTGTTTCATTTCATAGCTAAGAACATAGGGTTTTTATGGCTGTAATCTTTAGGGAAGGAGATCGCCAGGCCTTTTTTCCTGCTGTGCCGCTGGGTAGGTTTGACTGCCAAACTTTAGGTTAGTAGTTGAGCACAAACCATATCCGCCACCCAGAGACCGCTAGGAAACTAAGAGGTCCTCAATTTCTATTATTTACCCTTTATTATCTTATTATCCATATATCTGGAAATATCTCACTGCTCAATTCTAAGAACTTCAGAAAAATGTACCAATAATAGGAGTCAGTTTAATAACAGAAAAGAGATTCACGTATGCAAATTAATTACTAGATGCCTCAGTTAGTTCAGCTATAAAATGAGGCTAATAATTCCTCTTTCAATGGGTCGGTAAGAGAACTAATTTCCTAGTACAATGCCTAGCCTAGGTAGAGTAGGGGCACAATAAACGTTAGCTAACATTCTTGTGTCATTCTCCTACTTTAGAACCTTCAACTGTTTCCCATTGCCTACAGAATGAAGGCTCTATACAGTCTGTGCTCCCACCACACTTCCCAGTTTCCTCTTCAGTAACTTCCCTTCATGCATGTTATACTCCAGGAACATTGCACTAATTGTTCTTTGCTTCATGCTGCTCCTCGGCCAGGAAAGCACTCACCTCTCCTGTCATACACCTACTAATGCTTCAAGGTCCCACTCAAACATCAACTCTTCCTTGAAGCCTTTGCTGACCTTCCTGGTCAGAATTAATTGATCTCTCCCAGCATTTATATCATTATACTCTGTCAGAGTACTTAACACATTGCATACGTATGTATACCTGTAAATGTTCTCTCCTGCTGGTCTCTGAGCTTCTTAAGGGCTATATCCTAGCACAGTGGCTCCCAATATATGGTCAGGGCACCCCTGGGAAACCCATTTCAGGGTCCTCAAGGTCAAAAATATTTTCATGATAATACTAAGCCGTTATTTTCCTTTCTAACTCTCATTGTCTCATGAGTGTACAGTGGAGGCTTCTAGAGGACACATGATGTGTGATCTGGCAACAGACTGAACGCAAAAGCAGCTATGAGGTTCCAGCTGTTTTCTATTAAGCTAGTCATTAAAGAGACTTGCAAAAAATGTAAAACAATGCCACTCCTCTATTTTTGCTTTGAAAAATAATTTTTCACTAAAATATTATTTATGTCAACACAAAATTGGTTTATTTTTAAATGAATTAATATTTTAAATTCCTCAATTTTTAGTTTAAAAAAAATTTTTTTTAAATCAATAGATATAACCACATAAACAAAAGTTCTCTGGGTGCCTCAAAAATTTTTGGAGTGTAAAGGAACCCTGGGATAAAAAATGTAAGAACCACTGACCTAGCATGTTGAGTGCCACATAATAGGTGCCCAATAAACATTTGTTGAATGAACGGAAAAAAGTAGTAACACTTTAAAATCATAGCATCTTCCTTATAACCAAGCCTCTTGCATTCTGGTCTCAACTCTGTCACTGACTGACACCACATGCCCTTAAAAAAAATTTCTTAAAACTTTCTTGAATGGGCTGTCCCTTCCCCACCTAGTCATTGGATATATAATTTCATTCTTCCTTACCTTTGGAAGTTGTTCAAGAGAGGGAGAAAATATAACCACGAAGTATATGTGACTTTGCCTTTTTTTTGAACATTTTATTGTAGTGTAGGTGAAAATTTACACAGTAAATTTGTTTCCCATTCAATAATTCATACACAAATTGTTCCATGACATTCGTTGCGGTCCCCGCACTGTGTCAGCACTCTCAGCTTTGCTTTTGGGCAAATGTTGCCCTTTTGGTCTTGTATAGTTGATTGTTCTAATGAGCACATTTCTCATGGGTGTTGTTTATTTTATAGACATGTCTATTAATTCAGGGAGCCCTGGTGGTGCAGTGGTTAAGCACTCAGCCG